GTCCTCACCCTGCTGGAGGACAAACTGTCCACATGTCCTCACTCTGCTGGAGGACAAACTGTCCACATGTCCTCACCCTGCTGGAGGACATACATTCCACATGTCCTCACCCTGCTGGAGGACAAACTGTCCACATGTCCTCACCCTGCTGGAGGACAAACTGTCCACATGTCCTCAGTCTGCTGGAGGACAAACTGTCCACACGTCCTCACTCTGCTGTCTTTAGTCTCTCTTCTCTAAATGTTATAATTACTTTTATCAGTAACGTATTTTTTCTTTGTCTCTCTTCCAGATGAAAATACACCTGGACCAGACCTGGACCAGTCCTTCTGTGTCTCTTTCCTGGCCCCCAAACCAGCTGGTTGCGGCAGATGGCCGCCTGTCCTGGTCCTGGTCCTGGTCCTGGTCCTGGTTCTGGTTCTGGTTGACTGTGATGAAGTGAAGACTCTTTAGATTGGTTGTTTTTGAGCAGAGACCTGAGACAACGATTGCTGGGACTTGGGGGATGGAATCAGCCATGGAGCCTTTTCTTGAATGTTCTCTGGTACTGGGACAGGTCCTAGAGGAACTGGACTCCAGGCACAGCACCATGACCTACCAGGATCTGTGCAGGTTTCTTTGTACCCGCTTTGACCTGGTCCACCTGGCCAAGGTTCGAAGCCTACTGTTCTACACAGCCTGCCTGGACCCAGCCTTCCCAGCCAGCCTCTTTAAGGACAAGATGCAACACTCCCCTGAGAACCTGCTGTCCAAGAAACTGATGGTAGCAGCTGACGTTGTCACCATGTTTAACCTGATCCAGATGAACGGGGAACGAGCTAAAGAGCAGCTTTCAGCGTTGCTCAGAGTCCAGATCTCCAAGCACCAGTCCATGGAGCTGAGCACATCTGACCTTGAGTCCAGGACCCATCAGGACAATGACAGGAGGACTGCTTATAAACACATGGATTACCCTCCAGATGGACACCATAAGCAGCCCCCCCAGCATCTCCTCAACCTCCAGGCTGCCTCTTCTGCTCTGAAAGCATCAGAGAAAACCACCTGTCAGCTCGTTCCCATGTCAGATCCAAACTTCTTTCTGCGCTTCAACAGACCTCACCATCTGCCTCAGGTCCACAGCAGCAGTCCCACCTCCAGACCCAGTGAAACCCAGACCACCTACTATCCCATGGAGACCACCACGTATCAGGAGTCTCTGCAGCACAGTCCCCATCCTGAAGGATTTTCTGTTCCACCCTGTTCTCAGAAGAGAAGCATTTTCAAGGAAGACTTCCACAACTTTGTAGCCTTCTCACCACAGGTCTGTTCCCAGGAGGAAGTTAAGCTTTCCCTGCAGACTAATGATAGCAGAAACTAAACTAAACTAACTAACTAAACTAAACTAACTAACTAAACTAAACTAACTAAACTAAACTAAAC